ACTCATTTTATCTGCACAGGGTGCACAGATCGCTATTACTTCTTTATTATGCCCATTATACACATGAGAAAATGGAGGCTCAAAGAGGTTAAACAGCCTGCCCGAAGTCCCCTAGGTAGTAAACAGTGAGGCAGGAATCAAGTCAGGTAGTGTGATGCCAGTACCTACTGCCCAGGTTTTGGACTCCTGGATTTGAATTGCCGCACTACATAGGTGTGTCCGAGGTCTACCGGAACCCTGGGACCTTAGCTGTGGCTTCTTCAGACTGTCCCCTGTCACAGAATCCCTGTTCCTTTCAGCAATGCTAGGTCCCTCTCTAGGACCACACTAGGCGACACTGGCTCCTATTGCTCCCTTCCCACCTTCACAAAAATCAGCAATAAAGACTATCCTACAGCGAGGCTGAGAACACTCCTATCTGTCTGATGGGCTGGTCTCCAAAGATTCCTTTCTTTAGGTATTTTTTCCTAAACCAATCTCTCTGACAGGTGATTGCTCTGAAGTTACTGTTTCAAATAAGCTTGGGAAAGAGGGGGAGGTGACCTCTACAAGATTCATGGGAGTCAAACTTCTTTGACTCCCATGCCGGCAAGACACTGTCTCTCTTACAGCACCTGTTAGGCATCCCCCAAAGCTATATTAATAATGGTGAAAAGGAAAGGAGGGCAACTTCAGACTTGCCATATAAGGCATCTGCTTTTCAACAATGAGCAGCTCTGGACTTCCTGTGGGTCGGTAACGCTGAGCAGCCAGTGCGGCACAATGATAGGAAAACGCTCGGCATACCACAACAAACCAAGGAATAAACAGCGTCCAGGTTTTCCTCTAAACCAACATATGCGGCTTGGTGGGGGAGCAGTGTTTTATTTATATTGCTATGCAACGCAGGAGAAAAAGAAAGGTGATTTCAATAAAAGGCACAGGAATATGTCGTGCTATCTGATCGCAGTGTCTGAATTTAGACATGACAGATGTTGGGAGGGGCTTCACGTTAGACGTCAACCACGATAAGAGAAATTAATGTAGGGGGGTTAATGGCTTTACTTTGTTTTTAAAAATTCAGTGGTGAGTACAGTCAGCGGCCCTGGGCCAGGGAGTACTGTGCTGGCTCTGGCAGGGTCTGCTTGTATGTTTATGCAGCCAGGAGCACAGCCTAGGGAAACTTAAAGCAAGCTGCCAGAGGAGGCTGCAAATTGATTTGTTAAACCGCAGATCAGCAAACAGACCCTGCCCGCCTCTCTGCTTACCTCTGCTGAGGTTCTGACTGGAAGGAAGTGCTGTCACCCAGGGAATTCTGTAACTCAAAGGGGCAGGCATGTGAGCTTCTAAGGGTACGTGTTAAGGTTATACTTTAGTCACAGCTAAAACCTGGCCTTCCAGGAAAAGTATCCTCCACCCCTTTCCCAGACTTCCCACAAAGCCCTCCAACCAGGAAAAAACAACTTCAGAAAGTAGAGTGGGGCTTTTCTGGAATCAGGTTCCCTCAGTTGTGGTAAAGGCAGGTATCTAGATACTCTGCCCCCACACAGTGACCTTCTCCTAAGTCATCAGGTGCCTGTTTCAGTTGCCTCTTGGGTCTGGTTGCTGCCTCTGCCCCCATCCCCATGAAACTGGGGGGAGAGGAAGTTCTCCATTTCCCACTGCATGCCGTCTATATGCTGGGCACTTTTCTAGCACTGAGAATACAACTACGAACGAAACAGAAAAAACAAAATTTCTGCTCTCAGAGTGTTTTAAGTTCTAGTGGGGAAAATCCACAAGTACAAATTGATAAGAGAATGTGTAGTTATCCTCAAATGAAGACAAATTGCAAGTCACTTAACAAACTTAGGTACTATTCCCCAACATGAAAGGAATCAGGGGAAAGAGAACTAACATTTATTGAATGCTACCTATGTGCCAGGCACTTGATAACAAAATAATAACTAACAATTTCGAGCATTTGCTATGTCCTAGGCTCACAGGAAGCTGAAGTCACATACTTTACATTGTCCCTTTAATCCTTCCAATATTTCGGTTACTCCAATCGTACAGATGAGAAAACAAGCCTGGAAGTAAGAATAACTTGTTCAAGTACACCCTGTTTGCGCAGGCACGCCCTGCTTGGGATCTCTGCACTCCAGCCTGATGGCTTTGACAGTCAGATGGTGGCACACACTCCCCCTTGCTCTGCTTCTCTGCTGGTGGAGGGGGTGCTCACCCTTGTCCAGCTCCTTTCTACCAGTCCTTCAAGCTTCAGCTTAAATAGCTCCTTCTTCAGGAGAGCTTTTCTGGCTCCTCCTCATGACTGTGATGGGTTCTCTAAACTCCTTACTTAGATCATATGTATAAAAGATCTGATCTAATTTCACTGGCTAACACGTGGAGGCACTCAAACACTGCATTGCTTCTACTTCCTCTCCTTACTGTGTTTATGGTTAACAGTGTGTGTGAAACTCGTCACTTGATTCCATACTGTCTTATTTTGGTGTTGTCAGATATCCACCGGTCTTGTTTCCTCAGCGAGAGGAGCAGCTTAGGGGACTGTATTTATATTGACAAATTATTATTTGTTTAATGATTGTTTAGTGGGTCTCAAATTTGAGCATGGTTCAGAATTGCCATGGCTTGTTAAATGGCTTGTTAAATTAAAAACTCTTTCCCCCAGAGTTTCTGATTCAGCAAGTCTGGGATCAGCTGAGAATGATTTTTTGTTGTTTTTTTGTTTGTTTTTTGAGATGGAGTTTCCCTCTCGTTGCCCAGGCTGGAGTGCAATGTGGCACTGTCTCAGCTCACTGCAACCTCCCCCTCCCAGGTTCAAGAGACTCTCCTGCCTCAGCCTCCCAAGTCGCTGGGATTACAGGCGCCCACCACCATGCCCTGCTAATTTTTATATTTTAGTAGAGATGAGGGTTCACCATGTTGGCCAAGGCTGGTCTTGAACTCCTGACCTCAGGTGATCTGCCTGCCTTTGCCTCCAACAGCTGGGAATACAGGCATGAGCCACTGCGCCCAGCCTGAGAATGTGTATTTTTGACAAATTCCCAGGATATGCTGATGCTGCTGGCCCAGGAACCACTTTTGAGAACCACTGGTTAATTGAATGTACCACAGCGCTTAAGAGCAGGTAGGCTGAGTTTGAATGCCACCCCTTCCACTCACTAGCTGCATGATATTAGGTGTCTTAACCTATTTGAGCCTCTGTTTCCTAATCTGTAAAAATGGAGATAACAATAGTATGTGTAGGCCGGGCACGGTGGCTCACGCTTGTAATCCCAGCACTTTGGGAGGCCGAGGTGGGCAGATCACAAGGTTAGGAGTTCAAGGTAGCCTGACCAACATGGTGAAACCCCGTCTCTATTCCAAAAACAAAACAAAACAAAAACCCACGACAGACAAAAAGAAAACAAACAACAACAACAACAAAATAATAGTATGTGTGTATCAGGACTCTTGTGAGGATTAAGTGTCATAATGAATACAATATGCTTAGCACTCTCCCTGACACGTTGGAAACATTCAGTGAATGCTTCCAACTATCACTGGAAAGGCTGGTACAGTATCAGGCACTACATAAGCACTGAACCCAGACTAAGAGTTCCTCCTTGGGTTTAAAACTTCTTTTGAATTCATAAGCAATGAGAGTCAAGGGTGTCACTGTATCATGACATCTATCATTAACAGCTTCTGAAATTAAACCAGAATCCTAAAAAATACAACATACATGGTCTTCAGACATGTCCCTCCCTATAGTACGCCTGATGTAAATCCCAGGTGAAGAAAGGCCATGTGTCTCTTTCAAGTTCAGGGGAGGTCCGGGAGGTACCTCCTTCACACCTTCCACAGCTGAAGGATGCTGAAGGGCTTGGAGTTGCTGGAGCCACCCAGGCATCTAGGCTAATGGGTTGGCAGACAAAAGTGGAGCCCATCATTCAATAATTAATTAGTTGCAATAATGGGAAGACAACTTCCACCAGAGCAGATAGAACAGCCATCTCCTCCAGTGCAGTCATTTCAAAGCACCTGGTCCCTGGCTGCTCTCAAATCTCTTCATCCAAAGCAAGACCTACATTTTCCCTCAGGGTCTAGCTGAGCAGTTACACTGGCTGACATTTCCTTAGGAAAGCCCAAGAGGAAATGTGCAGAAGAGACAATTTTCAGTCTTCTAGGTCTGGGCCAGGGTGTCCCGGGATGTAGGTTTAGTCTAGCTCTATCCTTGTCTCAATAATAAAGGAGGCAAGGGTCAAGATCCTCTCTCTCTGTGAACCATGAATCCTGGGAATGCTGTCAGTTGAATTCAACCCTGAAAAGTTGAATGAGATCATCTCTGGGAGAATTAGTATTTAGCAGAGGCTGCGCTGGGGATTGTGGAGAGATGCTGCTGCCCTTTAGAATCCCCTCCATGCTCCCAGAAGAGCACCCACCACCTCCTCTCTACCCTTCCCAGATGCCCAGAAGAAGGACGACCCCCCGCACCACAATTTTCAACCCTATCTCCAATTTCCTAAACAAATCCATCGCAGCCAGGTGGTGTGTCCACACATTCGAATGGAGCACCACCCCAGGCAGCCCCAGCGCAGGGGTTTGTCTCCCAACACCATGACCAGGCCCTGGTTCCAGCCGGTAGGCAGAGAAGGGGGTGTGTGCACGGGAGGCTGGAGGGGAACAGGGACTGCCAGGGCCTGAAGCCCTCCGGAGGTGAGGAGAGGCTGGGTCCCTGCACCTGGGGTCACCAGCTGGTAGATAAAAGCCAAGGCAGGTGGGGGTTTCTTCCAGGGAAGAGCCACACGGTGTCTTTCCCCTTCTCAGGATTTCTCATTGATCAACCTTCTGTCTTCCCGTCCTCTCCCCTCCATCCCTCCCCTCCCTCTTTGTTTGCCTTCTCCTCCCCTCCGGGTTTGAGCACCCTGCCCTCCCCAGGAGCGCGACTCGGACGCCGCAGTCAGCACCCCGGGGACCCCGGCCCGGCGCCCGCCTCCCGGCCCCCTGCCCTGCCCGGCCCTCCCGCCTGCTGGTCTCACCCAGAAGAGCAGGTTGAAGCCGAGCAGCAGGTACTTGATGCACCGCAGGCCCCCGCGGAAGCGCCCCATGCTGCGACCGGGCGACGGGCTCCCCAGTCCCCAGGCCCGCGCTGCGAGCGCCGGGAGCGGCAGGCGCCGGCGGGGAGGGGGCGGAGCGGGGAGGGCCGCGGGCGGGGCTCTGGGGGGGCGGGGCTCCGGGGGCGGGGCTCAGGGGGCGGGGCGCGGCGGGGAGGGGCGCGAGGACCCCAGGCCGCGAGGCTGGCGACCGGTGGGGGCGCCGCCGGGTGGAGATCCCGCGGCCCGGTGGAGCACGTCCTCTTTCCCCAGACCCACGGACCACCTTCCTTCCCTCCCGTGGGCGCACCGCTGCCGGTGTCTATCCGAGCACCTGCGGGGCGGGAGCGCCCACCGGGGACGGGGGACCCATTTAATCAGCGCCCTGCGCGGAGACTGGTTTGAGGCCCGGGCGATGCTTGAGGGACAAGCATGCGGCCTCGGGGCTCTGCAAACCTAGAAAGGTGACCTCGGGTAGAAGAGCCAAGTGGGGCCCGAGGTTGATCCGAAGCTGGCAGGACCCGTCGCGGGGCACCCGCCTGAGAGTCCAGGGCTGCGACTCCGCGGCGCCGAGCAGGCGCACAGGCCGCTTCTAGGGGACCCTCCCTCCGGCCCCTCCCCGCTCCTCGGGGGACTGTTACCTTAATAGGCGAGAACTGGGAGAGGGCGCTGGGGTTGGGGGGGGGGACACCCCGCGTCCTGAGGGCTGCTCCCCACCCGGCCGGCCAGTGGAGGGAGTCAGACTCCCACGTCTTGCAGGTTTCCACTGATCTGAGGGCTTGGAAGAATCCTAAATTTTCGGGATCTTACTTCTGATGTGGAGATGGGAGAAAGGGGGCGGTTTTTGTTTTGCTTTGTTTCTATTAAGTTAGGCTGTTGGCAGGAAAATCCGACTCCCACTCCCATTGACTAAGTGTCTACAATATGTGGTGCCAGACAGTATGGGGGAGACGAGAAAGTGTAAAATTCGGAGAGCCTATGCATAAATTCAGCAAAACTTTGAGTGCCTATGATAGGCTAGACATAGTAGCAAGCCCCACGGACTCAACAATGAGGAGACAGCCAGGCCCGGAACCACAGTCGCTGGCGGTGGAGACAGATCTGTAAGCAAACAAGGTGAGGAGAGGTGGGCTGGGTGCTGGACAGGTGTGCCTGGCCTGACTGCCTTAACCAGAGAAGGCATTGCTAAGGACGGGCCTGATCTGGTCTAGAAGAGGTAGCCCAGGCGGGAAAGATCAGTCCAGGAAGACGACGTGTCCAAAGGCACAGGGCTGGAGAGAGCAAGGCCTCGGAGGGAGCTCGGAGAACTGCAGTTAGCCCAAGCCTAGGGGCATGGGGCAGAGTGAGTCAGGAAGGCGGGAGGGCCAAATCACGGCTTTCAGTTGGCTAACCATCTGCTTCTGGTGAGGCCTCAGGAAGCTTTCAGATGTTGTGGAAGGCCACAGGGAACCAGCGTGTACAAAGCAAGAGTGGGAGCAAGAGAAGGCGGGGAGTGCCACACTCTTCTAAACAACCGATGGGCAAAACTGTCCGTGGCCCCTAGTGTCGCCATGTGCAACATGGAGATAATAGTGCTCCCATCACAGAGTTGTGAAGATTAATGAGTTAGTAATTGTGAAGTGCCTAAAACAGTGCCTGGCAGAGTAAGCACTGCATTAGGGTTAGTATTATTGTATCACACTCTATCAATCAACCATTCAGTTTCTACCATGTTGCCATCTTTGCCTACTGCTGTGTCTTTGGACACTTGTTTGAATATCTAGTGACTTTTATTTATAAAAGTGAGTAGAAGACAGAAAAATGAAAGTGCTGACTCTAGTAATAGACATGTCTCCAACAGTGAAATAAAGAAAGAAAAAAAGATGGAAGTCATTAGGTATGCAGAAAGAAGTGAATCATTAGCTTCAATCAAACACTTATAGCTCTCTATCTGTCACCTCCGTTTTAGTAGAAATGAAAAGAGCTAAGTTAAAGCGTAGTGTCTGGTACATAGAAGGCATTCAATAAATCAACTGAATGAACAACAATGATATTATACTTTAAACATGTTGAATTTTACATCTCTGAGACAAAATATGTCTAGAGATTATATAGAGGGAAGAGAACTCCTATTGTAACATATACATCTATTGTTTGCTTTTTCATACTGCAATTTTAGCACACGTGTTAGAGATACATGGTGGCTGCCTGTCCGACATAACAGTTTCAGATCTTTAGTATAGACTTGCCCAGTCGCCCTTTCACAAAGTTATATGTCTTAGGAGAGGCTGACCCTTGACAGGAGTAGGCTAAGGTAATCCTATTTCCCTTGTAGTTAGTTCAGGAAACAAATTGACAAGCATTCTGACCAATGGGATTGGAGTGGTGTCTACTGAGGCGCCAGATGGTCTGCCTCCTGAAGCTGTTGGATCTGGATGGTATACATAGAGTTGCTATATCCATCTTCGTACCAGCCTGAGAACAGATCCCACATTGAGAACAGCAAAACAGGAAGTTGAAAAGACCGGAGTCATTGGTGACATTGCCCCAGAACTGAGTGAGTCATTTCTGAAGCCAATTGAGTTTTAGGTTTTTGTGTATATGTATGTGTAGGTGTGTGTACGCATGTGTGTTAGTCCATTCTTCTGCTGCTATAAATAAGTACCTGAGACTGGGTAATTTCTAAAGCAAAGAGATTAATTGGCTTGCAGTTATGCAGGCTGTACAGGAAGCATGGTGCTGGCATCTGCTTCTGGTAAGGCCTCAGGACACTTTTAGTTGTGGTGGAAAGCCACAGGGAGCCAGTGTGTACACAGCGAGAGTGGGAGCAAAAACTCACTTGTTAGAGGGAGGATGGCCTCCTGCTATTCATGAGGAATCCACTGCCACGATCCAATACCTCCCACTAGGTCCCGCCTCCAACATCAAGAATTGGCATTATTGATGTGTATGTATGTGTTGTGCCTGAAAGTCATCCTGACCCATACATTTTCAAGAGTATATTACTGTCAGAAAGTAGGGGGACTACATGAAATGACATAATAAGGAAGTTAGCCTTTAAACTGTCACTGGCATTGCTCCCTTTTCTTTTTTTCCTGTCTTGAGCTCAGACATGATACTTGAAGCTCTAGAACATTTTGTGACTATGAAGAAAGGGCAAGACAACTGCAGACCTTCCACCCAGGACATTGTGGAACTGCTGAACCAACACGTGCAGCCACCTGCTCCAGATTCCTTATTCTACAGGAAAGGTAACCCTCTTTTTATTTGACTTTGTGTTCTGTTACATGTAGCTGAAGATATTCCTAACTGGTAGAGGGAAGACAATGCATTGATTTTTGGATCTGCCAAGTTTTAGATATGGTGGGAAATCCAGATGAAGTGGAAATATGATTGGGATTCTGGAGAAGGATTTGGATGGTAAGTTTAGGGTAAAGATTCTTCAGCAAATGGTGATAAACAGAAGTCAGTGGTCTTTAAACTTTTACCCACACGTGCCCTAAAATAGTTACAAAAATATTGTCTTTTGCATTTCTCCCCCCAATATTTTATAAGAATATTTTCAAACAGACAGGAAAGTTGAAATAATTGGGCAGGGAGTACCATATACTCACCATCTAGATTCTATGATAAACATTTTCCTTTGGCTGCATTCCTTATCTATACGTCCATCCATTTCTCAGTCCATCTTAATTTTTATTTATTTCCAAAGGGACTTAAGGCAATATGTTTCACCCCTAAACTCTTGCGCATGCATACCATTACCTAGAGTTCAAAGATCTATTTACTATTTCCCTAAAATTTACATCAATAAAACGTACACATTTTAAGTATAGTATTTGATATTTTTTGACAAATGCTTTTGCCTTTCTAACCCCAAATCCTATTAAGTTATAGAGTATTGCCGTCGCCCCATGAAGCTTTCAGGCTATCATATAACCCTTCCCACATCCCTCCTACAGGCAAACGCTGTTCTGATTTTCTTTCACTATAGCCTAAATTTGCCTGTTTTAAACCTTCATATAAATGGCATTGTATAATATTACCCTCACCCATTTTTAAGTTACATATAAAATTATTTATCATAAGTTTGAATATTTTCAGAGATGTCGTTTCTGGTGCACCTTAAATATTGACTTTTGAAATCAAATGGCCACATTACTCATTTTAATACATTCAGTAGAAACTGAATGCCAGTATGATCTGCTGCCTATTATCATCCATTTAAAAAACACATGAACAAGGCCGGGCATGGTGGCTCACGCCTGTAATATCAGCACTTCGGGAGGCTAAGGCAGGAGGATCAGTTGAGTCCAGGAGTTTGAGACCAGCCTGAGCAACATAGTGAGACTCAATCTCTACAAAACAAATGAACAAAATTAGTCAGGCATGGCGGTACTCACTGCAGTCCCAGCTACTCTGGAGGCTGAAGTGGGAGGATCACTTGAGCCTGGGAGGTCTAGGCTGCCATAAGCTGAGATCGCACCATTGCATTCCAGCCTAGGTGGCAGAGCGAGACCATGTCTCAAAAAAATAATAAAATAGAATAAAAACAAAAGCAAACAAAAAATAAAATACATGCGCAAGCTCCTCTTTAACAGGGTGACATTTTTAATCTTCCCTTTTTCTCCTTGAACTTGTATTTCCATTTTATAAAATGTCATCCTAAAGTAATACATGTTTATGCTTGAAAGATTTTTCTTGAATATCCTTTTATACTTGTCTGAACAAAATTTACTATTTATTTTTTATTAAAATACTATTTAAAATTTATTAAAAGAAATTAACCTTGTTCCCTGAGACCATAAGGCTGTAAGTGTTAATTAATTTCTTCTAGATCCAAGGGTGTCCAATCTTTCAGCTTCCTGGGCCACATTAGAAGAAGAATTGTCTTGGGCCACACATAAAATACACTAACACTAGTGGTAGCTGATGAGATTTAAAAAATACAAAAAACGGACACTATTTTAAGAAAGTTTATGCATTTGTTTTGGGCAGCATTCAAAACTGTCATGGGCTGCATGCAGCCCACGGGCCACAGGTTGGACAAGCTTGTTCTAGATTAAGTTACTGTTAAAATTACTTTTAGTATACAAGTGTATAAATGTATTCATAGTCCAGGGGAAGGTGCGTGGGGAGAGGGAGGTTGAAAGAGAAGAAAAGCAAGAGCTGTGTCTCTGAAGAAATAGAAGGGGACCGAGAACGAGACAGTGGTGGGGACTTGCATTTGGAAACAAGGAAAATAAGCAAGCGTGGAGCTGTGGAACCATTTTGAATTATCCATCTTACAACCCTAGTATCTGACCTCTCTGCGATCCGATTTTGCTGCCTGTGGACTTTTCTACCCATTGATTTTAGTGTCTTGCTCTTTGTGTATTGTGTGACTTTTTAAAGCTGTAGACTGTTTACTTTCCTTTGAAATTTGTGGGAATTCTTTGAATCCTCCAGAGAGGATTTTCTTTGCGTTCTGCAAATCATCTCAAGGCACTACCACAGGGCTAATTTAGACAACAAATCCATCTGAAGGCTGGCTTGTGGTCAGAAGGTCTCGGGGGAGATTTTCCTCACTCCAACACCAAGATCAAAACATATCCATTTCTTCATCCTCTTTTGCAGGATGGGTTTATTTCTTATCTGCTCTTCCATGGAGGGTATATCCCCTGGGAGGAGGTACCAGGTTTGGGTGAGGTCTTCTAACACACTGTCTATATTAGTGGCATTTCAGGCTTTTATTCACAAACCCCAGGCTGTTGCAGTTGTCGAAACAGAAATCCAGGGCAAAAGGTGGCTTTGGTGCGTGCTTCCTTCAAGTTCTTGCTTTCGCTTCATTTTGGCCTTTGTAGATTCTCTTCCTTTTGTGCTAGCTCAGCAATGTGGCTTTATTTTTAAATGCTTACATATTTTATCCAGTGTCTTAGTTTCAGTCGAGAAGGTAGTTCAGGATATTGAATCTGCCATACTGCTAGAAAAGGAAGCCTGGTGTGCCTGTTATCATAACTTTGGTTTTGATAAGCAAACATGAGCAGTTTTTGACTGCTAGGTTTACAGCATACGAACCCTGTTGCTATGCAGCTGTTGTTGGAAAATAGTCTGTGGGCTCAGATTTTCTAAACCAGCCGTCTATTGGATGCCCAGAGAAGGAAGGAAAGCGAGGGCCCTGGCTTGCTGGTTACAAACCATCTCCATGGTCACAGGTTGCTGGGTGCTCCTCCTACAGTGTTTTCCCAGCGGCATTCAGGCAGCAGTAGCTTCCTCTGATCATTTTCCAGTTTCTGTTGTTTGCTAGTGAGAGAAAGGGTATACCTGCTTGTGGAGACATGAGTGAAGAAAGAGAAAGGACTTTGAAACAGGAAAAGAGAGAAAACTCAAACGGTAACTGATGGTTTCCATAGGACCCTATGGGAACAACTAGCCCTTTTCTGTTTTCCTTTGTACAGGCAGTTGGGGGAAGGAGAGGAACATAACTCATCCAGGTCTCAGGTCTAAGTCTGAATATTCATTGTGCCTCACAGATCATCCCCATTTGAATCATCCAAATTAGGAAACAGTTTTAAAAATGACTGAATGATAGTCTGGCCAAAGTTTAATGTGGCTTTTCTTGTGGTCTTTAAGTTTGAACAGAGGTCCCAAAGGCTGCGAGCAAAATTGTAGGTACTTAAGCACCTTTATATTCTAAAGCAAGGTGCAAGATTGACTATGTTAATCAGCCGTTATATATTAACATAAGAGATTTATTACAAGGAGTTGGCTTATGTGATTACAGAGGCTGACAGTCCCAAGGTCTGCAGTCAGCAAGCTGGTGACCCGGGAGAGCCAATAGTGTGGCTCTAGTCTGAAAGCTGTCGGGCTCCAGACCCAAGAAGAGCTGATGTTTCAGTTCAAGTCCAAAAACAGGAAAAGATCTGTGTCCCAGCTCAAGCACTCAGGGAGGAGTTCCTTCTTACTTGCAAAAGGATCAACCTTTTCATCCTATTTAGGCCTTCAACTGAGCAGATGAGAGCTACCCTTTAGGAATGGCAGTCTGCTTTACTCAGTCTACCAATTTAAATGTAAATATCATCCAAAAACACCATCACAGGCATACCAAAAATAAAGTTTGATCAAATATCTGGGGACTCCAGGACCTAGTCTAGTTGACATATAAAATTAACCATCGCAGGGAACAAAAGAAATGTAAGGCAGGTAGGCTAAATTGAAAGCATATAATGAGATGGTAAATGTATAGCCAAACATATCAGTAACTTCTGTTGAAACTAATCAAGAAAAGGAGAGATTGCACAAATAACCAAGGTCAGGAATAAAGAAAAGATGAAAGACTCCGGATCTGCAGACATTTAGATAATATAAATGACTCTCTACCAATACATTTGAAACTAGATAAAATGGACCGATTCCTTTAAAAAGTAATGTCAAAATGGAATCAATGAAAATTAGAAAGTTCGAGGAGTCTTATAACCATAAACAAATTATATATGATCTTTTCACAAAAACAAAAAGTCTGGCCCAGATTGTCCTTCATTGGTGAGTTCTGCCAAACATTTAGCTATGAAATAATTCCAATCTTATGCAAACTTTCCAGAGAACAGAAAAAGAGGGAGCCCTTTAAAAATACTAAGATTATGAGACTTCGTAGCCTGATCTTAAAACCTAAACCTGAAAAAGACAGGATGGTAATGAAAAGGAAAATTACAGTCTGTTTCACCTATCAACATAGATGCAAAAATCTTCACCAAAATACCAGCCAAAAAAACAGAAATAGCTCACTTATTTGTGAGGTCTAAAAATCAGAACAATTGAACTCATGGACCTAGAAAATAGAAGGATAGTTACCAGACGGTGGGAAAGGGAGTGGGGAGTTGGACGGGAGGTTGGGGATGGTTATTGAGTACAAAAATTTATAGAAAGAATGAAGAAGACCTACTATTTGATAGTATAATAGGGTGACTATAGTCAGTAATAACTTAATCACACATTTTAGAATAACTTGAAGAGTGTAACTGGATCATTTCTAACTCAAAGATTAAACGCTTGAGGTGATGGACACCCCATGATGTACTCCATGATGTGCTCATTTCACAATGCTTGCCCGTATCAAAACATCTCATGTACCTCATAAATATATACACCAACTCGTACTCCCCTAAATTTAAAAAGAATATGTAGTAATATATAAAAAGCCTAATACATTATGACTGTATAGCGCAGGAATGCAATGTTGATTTACATTTCAATCAATAAGCGTAATCTACCA